TGTATGAGTCATACGTAATGGATATAAAACGAATTATTTTTCCACCATACATTTCAAAGTTGCTGCACCTCTAATGGGATGCTAAAAAAGCCCGTGTTATTGTTGCGCAATTTATGATCGTATATTTCATGTAATTGTTTCTTTGTGATGTTAATTTCTGATATTTTCTAAAAAAAAAAAATAAAAAGAAATAAAATGCCTAGATCCGTATTTCATTTTCTGATTTTTCGAAGTTCTTTGGTATCTTTATGTCGTTATGATTAACCAGAAAAATTTCCGCTTCGTCGTCCCGATATTAATCATATCAGCGAGATAAAAATTATGAGCGAACTTAGGAAAGTTTAGGACCGAATTACGGAGTAACTAATGTAATCGGTCTGCTCCCCATTTCCGCAAATTGCCGACAAATTATTAATTTTCTCAAAATTAAATAACCTTGAGCACTTGAAAGTAATTTGCATAAAACATCACATGACTAATATCTATATAATCCTCTACTTGTATAACGTTGTTAAAAATTTTGTACAACAATATTTATATAATATTAAACTTTGTTCATTAATTATATTTTCAAAATGTTATGATTAGATAATACCCGCAATAACATAGTTGAATTATACGTATCTTCTAAAAATGCCCGTTTTCTGTAAACAAATGTTATGCCAGATATTACACATAAATGTAAAGATACTATTTTTACATTACTGTAATTTTGAAAACAGGATTTATAAATTCTATCACCTGGCTTATACGCTTTCAATTTCTCTCTTAGTTTTTATTGGAAAAAGTAGCTGACACGGTAATTAAGTTATTTACATTCCCAGACGCATGGCTCGTATTAAAACTAGCTTTTTCTAGCAAGTGGACGTTTCCTCTGTCAATCGTGCCAGGTTTGGTCGAAGTTTCCGATGAAATCTATTAGAAAACGTTACATCATACTTGGACCGTTGCCTGCCACGGAAGAGCACCCGTCACACGACGATAATGCACAATCGCGTGCATTGATTCATCATTGTCTGTTCTTCAAAAAGAAGAAATTAGTTTTCGTGAGAGGAACTCAAAATAATATTTTCTAATTTCGTCTTTAATTTATTCACACTTGAGGTAATCTTTAAATATTTAAATTTTCGTTATTGTATTATCTAGTTATAAATAACAAGCTGATAAATAACAGTCCTTATTAAAAAGTATAACAAACTTGGAGTAAATATTTATTATAAGAAATGAGATTATTATGAGTTAATCGGTTCAATGACATCAAATAAATTATAATAAAAGATCAAAAATCAAGAAATTTTTATAGTTATATAACTTATATGACATGAAATAACAGTTAATATGATGCTAGGCGTAATAATTATAAACGTAATTTAAGAATATATTTTATACAACAAACACTGATTCACGTATTTTAAGTTTTAAAGTATTGTAATTTACAAAATTATGATTAATTTCAACTTTTTTATTGTTAAGTATCTTCTATAGCAGTGGATATCAATATCGATATTTTTCTGAATTTTTTCTAATGTCGAAATGATAGTTTCAAGACAGATCATATATACGTCCACGATCCGGTTGGAATTTTCCTATGTCTGGACCGGGTGCGAAGGTGAGAACTTCTTTTTACTTTCATAAAACACATCATCCATTTCAGGATAAACGGGGAGTAGTATTCAAGGTCAACGAGAGTGTGTATGTATGAGTGCATTGTGATTCATTCGACCATGAAAGAGGGAATCGTCCAAGATGCACGGATGCAAGGAAAGAACAGACTGAGGGCTCGAGCAACAGATCCATTTCCTTGACTTGTCTATCGATGTAATGCGTATTCAGAATTTCAAAACAATAACGTTTCCCCGATAGCCTTTTGCGCATACATAAATAAACAAACTCGAATTGAGTGGAATGGAGGATGGAGATGAATGAGTTTCGATCGTCGGTTTCGAGACGTGAGGTAATCAAAACTGAAGTACCTATATTTTAAATAAAAATAGATATTAAAAAAATTTCTGATTGATAATTTATTCTAAATTAATGTGGCGATACATATACATATATCTGTACATACAGACACATATACAACACACGCACATGGCGTTGTAAAAATAATATTACTTTAAAACCAGTTACAACATAACAGTTTATTTCAAATTATAAAAGAATTAAAGGTTTATATATCCTAGATATATCAAATTGTAATTATGAGCCGGTTTTGAATAAACGAGAGAGGGAAGATATAGTTACAAAGATACAGTATACAAAGAATACAAAAGAGTTGTTTCAGAAATGTATCGGATAAGAAACCCGCTAAAGAAAAGAACTCTACCAGTTTGAAAATGTGGGACACATAATTTGGAACTTGCTACCGTACTGCGGAAATCTCTTGCAAGTTGTGACTATAGCAACAAATGTCAAGGTAAGTAATAATATATGTATAAAAAATTGCTAAAACAACTAAAAACTTTATCAATTCAGCAAATTTACAGCAACAATGTACGGATAGCCAGTTTTCTATGTTAAGATGGTAAAATTATACAGCTGAATGAAATTAAAGATTATAACATATTTGATGTAAAGTACAGAAAATATGTTAATACCGCAAAGATAACTTTCTATAAAAATCAATCTAATATACATATATAATAGATTAAAATTAAAAAAAAAAAACATACTAGCTAAGATAGCGCATATTTTTGCTGCTGTAATTACGAAAACTTGTTACATTAGCAATTTTCATTGTAACAAAGAATGAGCTGAATTAGCATATAGTGATAATTGCTTATAGATAATTTCTTTGTTAAACCATCACATTTTTTTAAATTATAGATATTGAACTCACGTAGCAAGTATAATTTTGCTGAGTCTTTTTTTTTGTATAATTATACTTTAAAATAATTATAAGTATATATTTTATTTTGTAAGATTATTATGCTTCAGGAAAGAATTTGTAAGTTTGTTTTAATCCTGTTCTCAGATCGCATGGTTATTAAGAAGTAAATTTGACAGGAAAAATTTCCATCAAGTCATCAATTAACTCACCTCGTCAATTATCGTCTATCACTCGCAGATGTTATTCGAGACATTTATTATCGATATTATCGTCGATGTAGGAAGCCGGTTGTTATAAACTTCGTAAAAGTCCGCGAAGTAACAACGATGGTCATACAAGTGTCACTATAATTATAGACTCACAATCTATTTTCGCAGTACAATGTATTTTCTCAGAAATATCGACGTCTGTTAATGGACGACTGATTAAGCCATGATCGCGAAACATAAAAAGCCGCTATCAGTCCGCCCGATAAGTTGCGAGACATGTCGCATACTGAGTGATGTAATTAATGCCACGGCAGTAATATACCCCACGCGATAACCTTGCGATTAGTGGTCGTGAAAACATTCGTCACGTCCCCGAAAAAATATATTGCCTTATCAGCAACGCAGATTACTCTTCTGGATAATTTCCTCGCAAATCGGTAAATCGACCGTGTGCGATTTACACACGCTCTTCTTCTTTATCATACTTCCCTCTCTTTCCTTTTCTCCGGAATAATGTATCTCGTGTCCATCGATCAATAGCGAATCAACACAATCTGGTAAAAATTACTCGAAACTCCTTTGGTTCTCTTAGACTTTCAATCTCGAACGTTTCATTTCTCTTTAAGTTAATGGAACCGCTATGTTTTTTTATCTTACTGCATCAAATGTGCGGTATTTTTATGCTTGATCTTGCGAGGACACGCATTTTCAAGAGTTATGAAAATATAAGCAAGAAAAAGAAGTTGGCGAAAAGAAGGGTGCATATACTGTTGACAAAGTAAATATACATAAAAAGGAACGTAATAAGTAATAAATAAAAATTTGAATGCTTAGTAATCTCTCATATCTCTTTTGACTTTTGCGAAAATAATTTTGTCTGAAGAACCTCCAAATGAGAAGATTGCGAGGGATGTGAAAATTTTACTGTCAACATTTTGCACGCGTCTCATTATTTGCACTATATTCGGTGAGAATCGGATATTTCGAGTTCTGAGACAAAAAGACGAAGAGGCGCGTCATAAAATGTCACGTTACTAACAAGGTGACATACTTGTTTTCAGCTCGTCGAAACCGGAAAGGAGCAGTTTTAGATGAAGGTTTCCCAACAAACTCTCCGATGTCTGCGTAACTTTTGCTTTATTTTCCCTCATATCAGTCAGCATCTTATCGATTCATGTCAACACAAAATCAGTATTTTGACCCTCCAAACTACATTCTATTTCCGGATCAGAAGCCATTTCTCCGAAGTTTACATGATCATTTAATTCATGACGGCCATCGTGAGTGCGATAAAGTCATTCCTACGTCAGAAACATGAGATGTTTGCCATTATGCGATCGACATTGGCTTTTTATATCAGTATTGCATTAATAACAGTTTATAAGAACAGCTCATTAAATCTCCCTAATCACAACAAAGTATCTAATTAAAGATCAACATTCGGAGCTAAGGTAAATTTTATCTTATTTGCAGCTTTATATTTAAATATTAAATTTTATGAATTAAAATTATATTATAAATGCAAAAGCGTAAATTTTTATTTACGCTATATTTCTAATTATTTATTATCTCATTATTAAATTAATAAATACCAATAAGAGAATTTTTCAACATAATATTATAGTTGCATTATTAGCGAAATTTAATCAATACTAAATACTCATATTGCCATTCAAATACCTTGATTAACTAATTGTTAAAATTAGTAAATTAATGTTTTCTATATATCTTTATAGACGGAAAATTTTTGGATTTTTCTTTTTCCTGAAAAATAACGTAGATCTTCGATTTTTTTTATCAAATTGTCTTTGTTTAACAAATCGTTCAGTTGTTCAATCAAAGCTAATTCTGCAGTACACAATAACTATAATTGAGCAATTTAAACTCATCTCTACCATTCATCGATTTTCTATGCTAAAGAAATTATTGACTGAACAAGAACAGTAGAATAAAATGTAAAAAAAATTCTTTTAAGAGAATGTCTGACCATGATGGCGGAATGGGAAGACGCCGCACTTCTTTGTGGCGGAGCTGCTACGGAATTACGACGTGGAATGTGGCCGGAGACCGTCGATGCTTAAAATGAAGTCCTGGTCGGCTGCCAGGATCATATTCACGAAGTGGTGCGCGAAAATGACAGATTCCGACGAACCCTCCTCACATTGAACCGAAGAAAACTGAGCAATTCTCTATCTACACAAAGGTAATCTTAAAACATGATACCAGTGTCATACAGTTTTCAATTTAATTTGATGAAATTGAAATTTTTGCGTTCATTGAAAAAAGAAAATATTAATATCTCACACGTATTTAAAATAATTTATTTAATATTTTTTTATTTCTAAAAAAACGTTAAAAAAGACTCTCACAGATGGAAAAATATTTAGAGCGGACAAAGACGATATGAGCGTAGTTTATTTTTGTTGTTGACCGGCACTTGTGCGTGTTTAGCTATTATGTAAGATCGATAAGCGTCGCATTAAATTTTCAGATACGCAATTAGATTAGATCTGATATCGCGAGTTTCATGCAAAACTCGCAAAACTTCGCGTGCAAAAATTCTGGATAACTATTCCTTATTAACGTCGTATCTATCCGATACGCTTATTAAATGTTTATTATATTATGAACTTTGTAGTTTGCATATGTTAAAATTAAATCTCATCGATAATTTCTGACGTGTGTAATCGTGAAACGAACTTTCCGCGAACAGAAGCAACGTCAATATCGCGATGGGGAAGAAAAATATTTTTAAAAGCCGAGAGATGAACGTATTTTTTTTGCGGACAACTCTGTATAAATAACTCTGCTATCAACATTGCTACCGATAATATGTATAGCTTTTACAAACCGATACAGCGTAGGTATCTGTTTATTAATATTTGTACTTTAACATTCAACAAATTAATATTTTTTCAGCTTTGCAGATTGTTCAAAAAGATTTTATTTAAACGAGAATTTCTATTTTGTTTCATAATTCTTTTACTGCAAACACACACACATTTTTTTAAATTTATTTTATAAATCCCAAAAGGGTATATGATGAATGTCAGCAAAACAATTTTAACATTACGTTACAAAAGAATTTCAATTTTAATTTTTGTTAGTCTAGCGTTTAATTTTTAAACTTATAGTGTGTGGCAAAAGTATATTTAATTCATTATCCATAATTTTGGAAGATTAATAAATTCCGTTCGTTATATCTGCTTTAAATTAATCAACGAATTGACGTGAATGATGCGCGGAAAATTCACGATATCGCGTAACGTCGGTGAGCTCGTCGTTACTCCGATCTCTGGGATCGTGCGCTTAATCGATCTGTGGCTTCCGATTGTAATCGGCAGCTTTATCCGATCCGGGTATATCGCATGTCGCGGCATTGTTACTAATCAAATTGACTCAGAGAGAAATCCGAGTGCATCATGTTTTGCTCACACGCTCGCGCTTGTGTAATAAAACGCGTCGTGAGTTCCGTGGATGCTAATAATTTCGGATTTAATCGCTGTTTTTTTTATTTCCACAACGCTTGGCCGTATCATATGTCAAATGCAAAATAAACTTGCGTTAAAATTGAAAATAATTTTTATTTAACCATTTCTAACATGCAAAAGGCGTCCGGGGAGCATTTCTATTACCCATTTTACTCTCCGCGACAACCCCTCATGACTCATTAAAAAATAGGTGTCGAAGTCATCCTACGCATAACTTATTCATTATCTTATCAAGAAATATTGTCTCTCGTTGTGATGTTTATTTTACTCTGTCCTTATCTAGACTGCATTGCGCCAACGAGAAAGTTTAATCCATTCTCTATATTTCACCGCGAGGAATTTTTAGATAACCCGATAAAGTCTATGACACAACAGGGAGGATAAAAACAAAGAGATCAAACATCTCTCCTAAAAAATTTATGGATGTAACGAATCTGACATCTTTTTAATAAATATTAGCAATTATACGTAATTATACAGCGATTTAGAGAATCCAGTATTGATTTCTTCTATGTGCGGAACCTATATTTCTGAGATTTATTCTCAATTTTTTTTATAATCAATTGCGTGAAATTTTAAGAGAGGAGAAAACTTAAGTTAATAAAAATTTCATATAACGGCAATTATGCATTTTTTAACGGTATTATGCATTTTTTTCGCATACGTCTGTGTATTTTAAAATTAATTAATTTTAAAAAATGCAATACATATTACATTGTAGAAATATTTGTTTGTGTTATATACTTTATATTTACATAAAATACAAATATACTCGTTCTTTATGCAAAATTTTCTTTTCTATTTTGTTTTAATTATTTTTCTATGTAAATTTACAATTACTGTGCAAAAATACAAAATTAATAAAAAAAAACATCTTACAACGACATAAATTGTCCGTGAAAATAAATTGTCAAAGACCTCGTACGAGATATACGAGGGTTCTTTTAAATTACTTGCCAAACTAAAAGATCGAAGAAGTTGCTACAATACCTTTGGATCCAAACGGGGAGATGCCAGGGACAACAATACTATAAGAAAATAGAAGGTCACTTGGGCAACACGTGAACGGAATTTAATCGCACGCCTTCCGTTGCGAGCAAACACGTGCGTTGTTTTAGACGCTGCAGTTTGCGTCGTATTTACTAATACACGTGATAATGGCGTCAGTTAAGACTGACAAACTTGGACCTATTAATCAAATCGGGAGTGATTTAATTAATGAACTATACGTATAACCTACAAATTCTTAAAAGTGTAATTTCTCTTAGAGATCAGAGTCTATTATTTTTGAGCCTTACACATATTTCATTAAAAATTTTTGCAATTACTTTTAATTGAAGTAAACAAAAAATTAATTATTTTAATAATAAGTTTTTAGATTTTATATTATGTAATAATTTATTTGCACCGAAGGAAATTTTTTAATAGATTTTAATCAAAATCGCGTCTCATTCTGCCACAGCTTTATTAACGGCGCTTAGTTTATCGTTGACAAATTCAATTGATCTTACCGTCTCTCTGTCGATCGTGATACAAATATTGTATTCATATTGCATCGAGTTTATTATCAATGCATACTGCGTATCGATCAGATGCGATTGGGAGGACGGTTTTGGAGCTTGTTCAAAGCAATTGATTGAGATAGATAAAGCGAGCACGGAACTGTCCATCGTACTATGGAGTATTCACGGTATATCAGCTCGATTATACTTGCATACATTAGTCCGTAAATTGCGAAAAGAAACACAAACTTGGCTAAAAAACTTTTTATCTGGTGAGTCTCTCATTGAAGGAACCTGTTCCAACCGGTTTATGGCTGACTAGAGTTTCTGTATTGCGTTTTTTGTTTCGTTTACGCGAAACTTTAAAATAACGATCGTTTTCATTTCCGCAAAATCCTTTCGATATTTTTACGCATATAAATTTTGTATTTTTTAAAATATTGACATAGATATTTTCTTCTTAATTTTCCAACGTCGTCTAAAATGCTAAATTTGGCAGATTTTCACAAAATTGTTAAAAATTTTTTTATTATTACTACATGTGCTTTTAATGGCGCTTTACTACTTTATATAAACTTTATACTCCTAAATCTTTCAATCCTCTTCAACGCTTCGAATAAAAAGCGAATTTTTTGGAGCACGATACAGTTGAAATCGTGACAACATAACGACGTTCTGTAATCTTTTATTTACGTATGCACTCGTAAGTCCCATGGTTAATTAATTGAAACTTTATACAACGCGCCAACCATCTCTGAAAAAGTTGAAGAGATTTTTGGACAGAGACCAAGTGCACATGGCGCGGGGAGCCTGAAATATTCATGCACATGATGCACTATTCATGGACGCTCTGCTCGTCCCCGGCGTCGACGGTGTCGGCGGCGATGATGCAAGATCTATGGAAACGCATGACCGTGCATAACACCGATTACCTTAAGCCAATATCCCAAAACGAGGTCTCCATCGATCGAGAACGCGCAATATCTCACAGATATCTCTCTTTCTCTCTCTGGCAACTTACCTGCTCGCTGGCAGGTTCACTTTATCATAGCTATCTCTCCATTGCGAGATGCAGTGCGTCACACAACTATATAATGACTACTTAGATAGAATTTTCATTCAACTTTTGCGTATTATTAATACATCGCTCCTCGTTTTATCACAAGTGGCACAAAATTCTCTCTCTTGCGATCTCGTTTAATCAATTTACTCGATTTAATCGACTTATCGATTTATCCGTAGTGTAGTTCATGCGCGACTACATGTAACAAATCTTTCATGCGTGAATTAATCCGTTTGTCACTTATGTGTCTTTTTAATTCCTTTATCGCACAACGAAATGATTAAATGTGACGTTAATTTCCGTCTGTCACGTATCAACAGATTGAATCTATATAATAAAATTCAACGACGATATAGTTTATCACCCACCCACGCGCTTGTGCGATACAATAAGCCAGATTTATGAATTGCTTCCCTTTCAAGTCTGTTCTTTATAATTTTACGAGGTCAATTCATTCTAAGCAGAATCATAAGACTCGACTCGTAACTCGTTCTCGTAAGACTTGTAAGAAATGACTGGAATGCTTATGACAACATCTTTGCAGACAGCATTTTGCTAACCGTAATGAGCTCTTTACAATAGGACGTTAATAGATCAAAAGTCAGGAGTGAGTTGCAATGTGTCATAAGGCAATAATAAATTAATAATAAGTGACTGCGTGCAGATGGGCAAATTTCATTTTTTACGATTTAAAACTTATTGTTAGATTATGACTGAACTGCCACTTTTCTGATTGACCAAAATATTGTGATGTAATTCTAATATGATTTATTCTCGATGTAAGTTTCCTAAGATTTATGACTTATAATTCCAACTTATCACTAGTATGATATGAGCGGTGACTAACGGCTCATTGTGGAAAGCCTATAAGATTTATGAGAAAGCGTAGATAGTTATGAATGATCGTACGTCTTACGCATAGAATTACAATTCCAGTTATAAGTTCTTACAAATCTTACGAGAACAAGTTACGAACCTTATGTTCTGCTTAGAACTAACCTATTAATTTATATCATTTTCTTAGTTTCTCACTAACATGTGCTAGTATAAAAGACACTCAACTAATTTACAATTTTTTATCGTAAATGAGATTAATAAATACTATAACAGAGTTTAATATTCATCGACGATATAATTACAGTCATTTGAATAATATCCTGAGTCATTAGGCTAACGACTCATTGATCGCAGAACGTGACCAACGATATCTTGACCGGTTATAACATTGTTCCATATGCGTATCAAAGTCTGTTGTGTCTGATGAAGCACGCGATACAGTTCGCCAATCTCGCGTGATGGTCTCGAGAAGCGCGATCAATCTTGTGGATGCTGATTTTTTTTTACCGGGAAAAAGAGCACTGTCCTCTCTTAAAAACATTTATTATCATGCTTTAACGGCCGTCGTTCATGTGAGTAAAGTGGCGATCTTTTTTTTCTACCGCATGACACATTTAGGTATTTTACGAGCTAAGATTAATCGCTCGCTTATAGTTTCATCTAACTACAAGGGATTCTAAATGCGTCGCTTTTGAAAGCAAGGAGCTGAATACCATTATCAATCTTGTAAGTTACTTAGTTAATATAGAAAACCGATGTTATAATCTCTTACGTATGAAAGTCAAACGAGAAAGAAAATGTGCACTTCGTGTACGCAATGAGAACACACAGAAAATTATATCTTACATGTACATTGGGAAAAAATATCCTACATTTAAATAAATATTTATTTGAATACTCCCAATTAAATATTTATTATAATAAATAATATTACAGAAAATAAATAATACTATATTATAGTAAATAAATATTTACTTAATAAAAAAAATTATTGTTAAATCAAATTAATATTTTTTATACCGAATAAATATATGTTATATTTAATAAATATTTAGTTGGCTTATTCAAATAAAAATTTATTTAAATTTATTTCGATATTTTCGGTACGCAAAAAAAAAAAAAACAGTCGTTATTCCAAAAAAATCAGTATTTAAAAGATATGTATCAGGTTACTATCAAATTATAAAAGCTCAATAATTCTATGTCTAAAAAATTTATGTAAAAATGTTTTTTTCAAATTTTTCAGATAGTAATTATAAATAATTAATTATAACGATAAATTCCTTAATGTATTGTAGTATAAAATGGATAATTTCCAACTTAGAATTATACCAATATAGTACAATCAATAATCAATATTATAATATAGTAGATATAATTATATTCTAGATATACCATAATTATATTCTAGATATATTTATCAAGAATTGTTACACATATATTTCTATTAATTTTCAATGTTGAATTTTGATACATTCAAATTGCAAACAGCGGAGATTCATTATTACAAGATAAAAATTCTTTTTGAGGAAATGCAGCGAAACGTGTACTAAAAAGATGGATGCAACTATAATACGTTAAAGTTAATGCAGGAAAGAAACTGATACATTCGTCAAAAAACGCTTCTGTGTGGGAGGAAGGAAAATATATCAAGTGTGCATTTAAGTATGCCCGCATCAATGACGCACGACAAGGCCAAGAATCGTAACTTTTTATCAACGGCCAAACATTTCAATGACAGTGAGATACTTGAATGTAACGATAAAATTAATCGCGCAGAAGGTCGCGAATATTCTCAAGCGTGTTTTCCACTTACGTCTGTAATCCGACGTTAGCAATTTGCTAATGCATTTCTGTGCACTTTTCCACTTATTTAAAAACTAATTCGCAAGCGCCTGAAATAAAAAAATAGACACGCGCAAAAATAACTCGACCTAACTTAAAGTTTGTTTTTTGTTGCTGCACTGGACTGCACTAAAACTTTTTTTCTCGCTCTTGCTAAATATGAAACATAAATCTACTTTTTAAGTGCAAAGAGTGTATGCTCTAGTTTTCAGTTATAAAAACAGATCTATAATCTTTTATTTTCACCGAAATATGATATGTGCGTCGAATTCGAGTGAAACCCGCGAAGTGTTTCACTCTAAACAATGAGAAATTTTCATAGCGTTATATATAGTTGTTTTAATATTCATAGTTAAAACGAGTGTTAAAAAATGTATGCATTGTCTACATGTACCATATATTTCTATTATTTACGTAAACATCTATTATTTAAACATCCATTTTTATTTTTATTTTCATTTCACCAAATCGTTAGTTTTTACAGGCCGTTAACCAGTTACGAGTAGAAGAAAAAACTGAATGCAAGCGTTGGAATTCTAATAAAAATAACAATTCCGAATGCAGAAGAAATAGATGCCCACCCGTTTTTACAATTTTCGCCTGATTCGAATAATCGATGCTGTTTAACATGCTTTTTGCGTGATTCGATAGTTTTTAAGCGCGATGAAATCATACCATTTGTACGTGGAGTCGAGAGAAAAACCCTTCATATCCACGCGAGAAATATGGAGTTCTGTCACATACATGCGCAGAAATCGAATTGAATCTATGGATTCAACATATGCAGCGCGATATATAACGTTTATTTCTCTCTAATCTATATATTTATATATTTTTCTTTTATTTATCTTATTTCGATCTTTTCTAATCATAATTGTTTTCAGTTTAAGACTTCTGATGGCTCCTGACACAAACGGATATTAGAATCGTCATGAAGGAGACTTCAACTTGTTATTTCTCGTTTATATTGTTAGATGTCAAAGAAGCAATAATAATGCAATCCCTTAAGGTGAATAACATTTTATTTTTAATTTTCATATCAAATTATGTAAATTAATTCATTTCTGTGGTCTATTGTTTCAAAATAAACATCGTCTATATTATGCAATTAGTAAATACATAGCAAACTAAATTAATTTGAATCAATCGAATACATTTTTATCTTGAGTTAAATTGTTTAACTTTATTTGTTTCAGTCAAATTAACAACATATTGGATAGAAGCGACAGCGACCTACAAATATCTATATAATTAAAAATAACTCAAATTGGATATAATTTGACATAATGAATTTAGCAGTGTATGACATCACGATTTCGTTATAAACGCGACTATTACTTAGTAGTCTTAATGAAGAGGAAAATATCTTTGAAAAAGAAAAAAAAATACATTGAAATATGAACTTCAGTTCATATTTCACAGTATTCAATGGCACACAAGCATCGATTTTTTACTCTTTCCTTCTTATGTAATCTGCGTCTGCTGAGGTATAGGAAAAACAAGAAATTATAAGTGCACTTGATCTCTTCATCGAGACTTGTCCAGGCGGTCGAGATGTAATCGTGGTGGAGGAACGAGCCGAGTACCCAACGAGTTAGAAAATATCTGGCTGTCGGCCCTCAGTCGAGGGAGAGAATCTCTCGAGTATAAGTAGAAGAGTCCAATTAGACAACCGGCTGTCGAGGAGCAAACGTCCGCGGAAATTCTGCTTCGTTTGTAATTTCGAAGAGTGGAACAGTTTATCGAGATAATATAGATCCTTCAGCCGCAGGCTAAAGAGAATTAATGTGGAAATGTGAGCAATATCGTGAGACGATCAGACGGCGCGGCAAGAAAATCGAAACGCGAATGTACGTTAAGAGAGTTAGGCGTACAAGCTCGGTTGCGCCGAGTGTACTTTCCGCAGCAGTGCTTTATAATTTATCTTGCAGCAACGGCGGATCGATTCAAATGTTGCTCTTGCGTAATTCACAGCACGATTAATACACGACACGGAGACGAGATCGGATTTTCAGATTAGTAAACAGAGTCATTGTACTTTGGTCGATTTATTCGACGCGGACGAATGTTGAGTAACCGTGAATTGCGGCGAGTCTCGTTGAAGAAATACAAAAGAGCTATATAGAACTCCATACTACGTATTGTAATAAATTAAATGTAAATTCCCGTATTATTTGTTATAATAAATTTATTTCAAATTTTGTTTCACTATATTTCCTATTAAAAATTCCTTTTAATTCGGGTTAAAAATGCTTGAAGTTAAGAATTAAAAAAATTCTCAAAGCCAGAATAAATACATGCGTAATTAAGCTCAATAAAACCATTGCATGTAATAAATATTCAAATATTTCCATTTTTTTTAATTTCGAGATAATAAAGAGAATAAAAAACATTTATTTTACAAGCGAACGATATTTGAATATGAATTCTGATCCGGTATATGAGAAACGTATGATTGATTTCATTGTTATATTCTGACATAATATACGCTTGTACTTTTTTAAATAATCTGACAGTTTAATCTTTCCGCCTTTTATCGTATAAATAAAAAGTCATGTGAAATCTCACGCTGATAAGTCCCTTTATTTTATTCACAAAAAAGACGAATAACCGACCGAAGGATATCGATCAGTATGTTCAACGGTGCATGAACACACCATAAAGTTAGGTATGCGAATGTAGTCAACCGCACTTTATCGCAATTTTGTGCTAACAAGGTTTTTTCACGATTTCAAGAACGATCGCAAAATTACTAATTTGACGCAAATAAACTTTACTATGTTTTACATAATCTTTTCTTATATGCAAACATTAGGTACATTCCTTCAAAATGTTCTTTTGCATTAATACAAAACTAGGCAATTTTTCAAGAGATTAAAATTTAAAAGGAAAATATAATATTTTACAAAAAAAATGCAAAACTCGAACTGACGTTTATAATTTTAGAAAATTCCAATTTATAAAAAATATTCGATTATTTTTTGTTATTGCATAACGATATATTGACTACAAATTATTTTCTCCTTGAAAGCTATTTTTTCACGTTTGCGGAATATATCGTGCATAGTTTTAATGATTCTAAAATAAGAAATGCAAATGCATGACGCAGAATAGACATACCGTTCGTTTCTGCCGCCGGTGAATTACGTAAATTCCTCGCGCGAATTTCCTACGTTATTTTGCGAAACTTCCGAATAATTATGCTAAGAGAATCATCATGCGTCACTCACCAGTCAGGGAAGAGCACCGGTGCCTCGGCGAGGATATCCCGCAGGAGGGTAGTCGCAGGCGGCACGTGAGGCAAAATGACAGGTGCAAAAACACCGCAGACTCCGGCGCTGCGTCCGTGTCGTGCCTCATAGCGACTAAGGTAAATCGTCAGGTAGCCAAGCAGTTGATAATGCGAGGATGGCAGAGTCGACAGCAGCTCCTTCGTCGAGGCGATCCATGAGTCATGATCGTTCGCATAGCTCTCTGTGACAGACAGTTTTAATAATAACAAAAAGAATAAAAAAGGCAGACCACAGAACTTGTTGCGTGAGAAATAAGAGAAATTTAATAAAATTACATATTACGTTAAACATCGTGATCAATATTACATATTTCGGCTACGAGACTGAGCCATCTTCAGATATTTAAAAACGCAGTAATAGTGCGAAAAGTCTCGCATACACAAGTCCAAAGTGAATAACAAAAATTGCTCACAAACGGTTGGAAGACCGTGTGTGAAGAAACCTTCTAAATATACATTCTTTTGTGTTGCACAATGCGATAGCACATCAAAAGAATGTACAAACAGTAGTTTGAAGAACAGTCACAATAAATAAAACTAAGAGTAAAAAATAAATAAGATTGGTAACAAGACCATTTATGTGAGTAGATACGGCACCTAAATTCATGAAGCGCCAATACGATCAAAATTAGGTTGTTGAATTAACACATACATATACATATTCTTTAAATTAATTTATTTCGAAATTATCATTGCTTGCCGTTATTATCAGACTTTCAGCACAATCCATCTGAAATATTAATACTCGCCCCACATTTAATCTTAAAAGACTGCAATAAACTAAAAAATAAATAGTTAAAATAAATCGTCTGAAAGTTAGGAAGATTATGTTCAAAAATTCAGTCAAAAAATTAAAATGATTACAAGTGTATATTAATAACGACAGACGAACAGACACTGACCAGATTTTAGTATATTTTTATTATAAATTTTATCGGAGAACGGAGGATGTCACATAAAAGTAACAAAGTTCAATCAGAGATACGGTAAAGTTGTATAGCAAAGTTTTCCTCTGATACTAAAATATTCCGTGGTAATTTAAAGCTTTAAATGGAAATTTAAAATTTTAAAACTGAAACCACACTTGTACGTGAGATATCCCGGAATAGACGTACGTCTCATTACCAATGAAGTTTCTCGTTCTCGAACGAAATCCTGAATTATTTTGTGAAATTGGTAGGATTATGGATTCTCACGAGTGTGAATGTTGAGCAGTCTGCCGACGAGGGTGGATGGTACGACCGGCTGCGGCAATTCCTTCAGATATTGACGAAGAAGGGTCGCGGCAGTCGGTGGGCATCCGGCTGCCTCTAGATCGGCATCACCCCGCCGCTCGAAGGCCGCTCTCAGTCGTTCTGCCAGCCGCGGGCTGCCGCCTGACAGGCGAAACACCGCCGCGCTCTGGAAGCCATGCACCTCGATGTAGCTGCATAACCGGTGCACCACGTACGGTACACCCGTGTCGAGATACGACTCGACCAGCTCCAGCCGGGTGCCGAAGATCCTGCTGGAGCCAGCACCGCGGCCCAACAGCGAACCCGCCAGAACACGCTTTACACGAGCGAGACGAGATTCGTCCTGAAAAGCAAGCGACGTAGATTCGATGGGTCGCTTAGGTCTTTTCGAGTGCGTAGTAAAAATGTATAATACATATTCGAAGGAAGAGCTATTTCCTTTCTATAACAAAATATATACAAATTGTATGTAAACCAAATAATTATACAGTTATATAAACATTATAAGTAAAATATATGTATTATTGGTATATACCGAAAAAAGCTTTTTCAAAAATAAATTGCAAAATTAAGATATATGTAATAACGCATTAAAAAGCTCATGACAAGAATGGTGTTTCTATGTGTTGTTTCGTATTATTTGTTAAATGTACAATATCGCTGATTATTATATAAATAATTATTAAATAATTATTATTTAATTAAAATTTAATTTATATTTCGTGTTACATATGTATATAACTATACATATAATATGTATTTAATAATTAAATATAATACAACATTGTGCAGTTGTGTATTAGGTACATTAATTAATTTCATTCTATAGATAAAGTCTACACAAGTGTAATAAAATTATGAAACTCTTATAGTAGGTATATTTCGATCTTTATATTTATTTTTCTTAACTAATTCAAATGACGTACATTTTACGTCCATTTTGCATGGACTTTGGCATCCTCTACGTCAAGTATCGAGCGATAATTGATATTTCCGACATTCGCAAGACATTTATACGGGTCGTATAAATGATTAGTAAAGTGACAGGGAACGAGAAAGCGTATAATCGACGAACGGTCGCTAACTGTTGAAAAGGAGTGCCTCGACAAAGTGGAGTAACGAATAGATATAGACTCCGCATTCTCGCTCAATGCAGTAAAAGGACCGGAAAGTTTCTATAGCCGTATCTCGAGCATAGAAACTGCTATGTGTCATTGTTTATTTATTAAGACAGTAGTAACCACTGTAGGAACTTTACGCAGCAGTTCTTCTAATCGTTTTAAATTAACAAACGTAAAACGAAGCTTAAAGACTAAAAAAAAAAACGCAAGTTTATCGAATAAAAAATAATTATGTCATTATTATTCATATTAAAAAATACAAAATTTCGCAAAATATATATTGAAATACATGTGTAATTGCAATATCCTTTGGGCGCATCAGATGATCAGTTTATCAAAACAACTAATAATTGTAACAAAACATTGGAAGGAAAGTTCTGACTTCTCGTTAAATATGAAATTGCGGTAAATGCCAAGGGAAGCACTTACCTTATCGTGTGTTTGACGAGAGCACGTGGGGCTTGTTGAGGATCCATGGTGATGGTGATGATGGTGGTGGTGATGATGATGGAGATGTTCTTGCTGAGGGCGTCTCATCCCACTTTGTCTACACCGCGACCCGCTGCCGCACTAACAAAAGCGACGGGTAAACTTGTAAGTCGCACAATATGCGAGGACATGCAAAACAACGGTTACTCAAAGATTCGTTATTCACTCACATTCTCAATCGTAATTTATATCGTGGTCGAATTATAAAAGAAATATCGAACGGAAAATTTTCTAAATATAAAAGATTATTGTACACAATAGAGATAACTAATTATAGATATTATAAAATTTCAAATGATATTAATTGTATAAATTAAATTTTTTCAGAAGTCTTTTTCAGAAGTTAAAGAGAATTGTAAAAATAAGAGAAAAAATTACTGATCTTTTTTTGGGTTAGTATACTTCATATCGATCTAACGCGTGATAACTGCCGTGCACGATCGTACTGGGAAACACAGCAATGTCAGTACACCGACATTGGCGGAACAATCGCGGGGGTAATTTCAATATTTTCGCAAGCGCGCGATCGATAAGCGCGCGACGAGAAATACGCATTTTATATCACAGGAAAAGCTCAGCTTGAATAGATCGATGAACCATAAATGTTATCGTCCTCGTTCCTTTATCAATATCTTTCATTATGATAAAAATAAGTATAGGGATAAACTATTATACATCGTAACAAATATATATTAATTATTATTCTTAGTATCTTATTCTTTTTTTTTTTTAAAGTTATCTTTATAATACCTGTGTAAAAGAGAATTGTCCTTTAATTGGAATGTTCTACTTTGCTTTAATTATGATTACAAGGTATTGTATTTATAACGCGATTCCTTCGGAGCGTATTATATTTCAGTTTGCGAAGTCTAAAGAAATTATTCATCGAAAATCCTTGACAATTGCCAGCTCTTTTGAATAGATAATTTTTCTGCGACGTAATTTCATCCAACGGCACAAAGTATGTTATCGAAAATAACCCGTCGACCGTTGCACCGATAACCGATAACCGCGGTCGATCAATTTACCTTGTCATCCCTTTTTGCGTGAAAGAAAGGTGCGCAGTTTCGAAGGGCGATTATGAGACGGTTAATGATCACTGATGATGCTCGCTCGCGACTGATGTTTCATCCGAACGAGAAAATTTCACGTGAAACGGATTACTCATGTACCAAAATTGTGCCAAAATTTCGTGATTACGTAACCGAAGAGGTAGACGCATAGAGACTCTTGCGTGCGCGCGACATAAATGTGCGGCTTTTAATCCATTAATCGTCTACAGACCGAATTTGTGACGTAAAATGGAAAATAACTGTAGTATCGGTTTTTAACCGCGCCACACATTTTGAACGTTTGCCACCAAAAAATCATTTCCTCTGTACAGAATTCTTTGGTAAGATACAAAAGATTATAAAGCATGTTTATTTCTATTTTACTATATCTGTAGAAACATTATAAAAACTACTAATTAATAAAAAAAAAAAGATATTTTTGTAAAACAGTTGTCATTATGTGCTCTCTGTACATATAACTGCAGACAATGAGCTATCATACTTTAATCATTTTAAATATATCATTGAACATCTTAGATAAGTTTTATAAAAAGATCAACTCTAATTTAATACTTTCTTTATATCTTATGTCACGTATATATTTAAAATAAATTTCAAATTTTTTAACGTCTCGATAGAGATTAAATAAAATTTATAATAAAACTAATAAAAAAATAAGATTAGGGATTTTATACATTTAATTTGATTAAAATTATTAGCTTTATTGATTTGTACACTGGTTAATAATCAACTAAAAAAATTAATTAACTATATGTAATAATATATATACATCAGTATACATCAGTAGTATACATATCAGTAGATATTTGTCTCTAATATCTGACTGAGGTAGGATTCTGTGGACCAATCACCCACAAATCCGAAAAACAATTTGATTCGAGAAACGAATATAGGCCTCGGACAAAAGAGGTCTATAGACGTCCTATGCTCCACATAAGGAGATAAAAGGAGTCGTTTATTTAATAATATATATATTTCATTACTCATATCGCATTTTTTACTAAACATCTTAACATGTCAACTAAGTTAAGGTGTTAAAGAGGAACACTTACAATGCACTCTTTCGCGATCCTCCACAGGTTGAAGTATACTGAGCTCAGCGTGGCAGCTGTCTCGTCCCGCTCCTCCCTCCTTTCTTCCCTTCGTCTGGATTCGTCGTGAGTACGTACTGACAACGTCTCTTCCGGGTTATGATCGTATTCCTTCGATCCGGCCAGTTCCGGCAACTGGGATCGCGGATTTATGTCGAATACCACGAGTACCGAGTACCGAACGCGAGACCGTGTATACACTTTCTCGCTTAAAAATGGCCCGTTTTTTTTTTTTTTTACATCGGGATTTTAATTTATCTCAAAATAAGGAGAAAAGAGGAGCCGTTCTTGTTCGTTTTCGTGGTTGGAAGAGCAAGGAACGACTCGTGGGGATGAGTGTGGTTTATATGTATGTATGTATATATGCAAACTCTCGCAACAAAGAGAGAGAGAGAGAGAGAGAGAGAAAGAGAGAGAGAGAGAGAGAGAGAAAAGGGCCGTCGAAGAAGAAAAAAAGTCCTTCTTGCGTGCGCGTGAAAATTTTGAACAACCGTGTGTATACTTCTTCGTTTTTCTTACGACGACGGCGACGGCGACGACGACGCCGTTGAGCGGAGATCGTGCGACTCGACTAGTAGTTCTGGGTTCATGTCCCTATCACGGCACATCGCATCGAGCCCTTTCTCTAAGGCGAAGGGCACTGCCTATGGCTGCTTCAGGAAATGAGTCGACACCAGCCGTAGCGTAAGCATCGAGGGTCGGAGCCGGGATGAGGTCTAGGTCACCACTCCGCCCCTGGCCCTGGCATGGTCTACGTACTTTCTGCTCGAGCGCTTACTGCACCCGCTGCGTTCTGAAAACAGAAAATACGAAAAAGATTCTTCTATGTTTCGCTAATTGCAGAAGAAATATTTCAACATCAATGTATCCCTCTGTAAGGAACTCCCTTTTCTTCTATACTAATTTTAAAAATATTATCTCGACATTTCGTAGTAATTTAATATTTGAAATTATCTCTATAATATATGTTTAATATAAACTATCTTTTAGATTCTCGGTTTTTTACTTGCGTGAGAAGTATTATAGGTATTTATTTGATTTTTGGTCTAATTTAATCCATTTTGTTGTAGCTTGATGTTAACGCGGTTAGTATTAATAACAAGCTATAATAATAGCTTCTGACGATATGATATATATATATATATATTTAAAATAATTTATATCCATGTGTATAAGGCTATCGTGTTATTTTTGCGTGCACGACACATATATTATAGTTACATTATATCTATATTATTTGACAAGAGCATAACCAGGTCATTCGCAATTAACTCGTGAATACATATCGATAATTGAACACAAAACAAACACTCATATAGTACTCTGTTATCAGAAATATTTGTCAATTTTTGCAAGTATTCTTCTTATGCTGCGTATTGTAAGGATTATAAGCTATAAGAATTAGAATAGATTCTTTATTCTTCGTGCTTCGTACTTGTGGAAGCCATAGAATCAGCTCTAGTCCTCAACCGACCGCGTAACACGCTCCAATTTGATTACGCCCGTTGATTCGTTTAGCGTATGGTCTCCGTGGACTGTGACTATCTTTGAAAAATATACATCTCTCAATTGAGAAAAAATCGAGAAATACCTCCCATCGACTTTTTTTTGCAGCTATAAATAATTTTCTCGCGTGACGCAAAAGGCTTAAGACATTATTTAAATCTGCGCAGCAGATTTAACTAATCCAACGGTAAAGCAATTGATTAAAGCATTTATTGATCAGGAGACGCGGTAGCGTCTCCGGCCATGTTCAAAAACTGAGATTATATTATAGCGACATGAAATCGTAATTGTACATGAAATAATATATTTATGTGGAAGACTTCTAGATAAATCAAGATTCTGTCGAATTTACATTGATACATTTTATTAACATATGAGAATCACGAGCATTGCGATTTTATAGAAATATACACGGTGATGAGTCGACGTTAATGCATTTTGCAGCAGAAGAGTGTGTAATTAATCGCAGCTATCAAGCTTTTCAGTACACGCGACAGCTTATGAATTAATTAACGTCCGTGGTACTCGAATTTAATTTAATTAATATTCATCATTCGCCTATTTGCAACACTCGTCATCGCAACCTGGCAATAACTGCGATCGACTGCAATCTTGAAGACATTTCTGTAAGTATTTCTGTAAGTGTCATGAAATACAGAGATAAAATTTTTAAGTTAACATATTTCAGGCGATACAAATAAAGTAAATTTTACAAAAGCATATCATTTAATATTTATGTTTCTATAGTAAATTTATTTAAACATTCAACTAATTTAAGTAATATGATTTACTTAAAAAGGTGTAAGAAATCAAATTATTATTAATTAAAATGCTTCGTTGTAATTAATAAACTATTTTTATAATAATTTAAATAGTTTTTTCAAAATCTTGAACTAGTAAATGTTTTATTGATTTAATCATAGCCATTTTATTGTCAAAGAGGCTTAAGATTTATCTCCTTTATCAAAATTTCTAGAAGAATTGATAATTTTCAAAATAAATTCATGTTGCAATACTGCCTTTTTATTTCCTTTTCTGCAATGCGGTGCGGTGTGTCGAAACGACACAAGGGATTTCGAGCAGCTTGCATACAGTCGAGCGAGAATGAAATTTGCGTAAGTCGCCTCGCTTTTGCGCGTGATTCTCTAAACTCTCTCACATTTTGACAGTCATGTTACGTGCGAAACAAAATTTAATTTTCCTGAATAATTACGCGGAAAACGCGCTCGACGAGTTTAATAATGTTTATCATAATGGTCCATTTAATGCTCATTTAAATTATTTTCAAGATCGAATCTTAAAGCAATAAAAATAGTAACATTGATAAAATTCTGCAATTCATGAATCATCCATGAATCTTAATCGTAATCGTGGTATACATAGCGCTCGCGAATTAGAGGGAAGAGTCGGAATCAAAAACAGGGAAAGGATTACTTGCGTCACTCTTCACTCTACTTCATATGCATCGCATTGATAACGAAAATTGCACTACGTCGGTATGGAAACTGCGCACAAATGTACAACATATTTACTTAATTCAGTGATATTGCATCCGTAATAGCAATGCAGTATCAGCAAAGTGTGACTGTGTGTGTGTGTGGGTGTGCGTGTTTGTTTCTATGCTTACACTACGTAGAGAACTCCTTCGACAAATAAGACAGAACAAATAAGATTCTGATTCAAAGACACAGCGAAAATTGACAACCATGTCTTCGTAGGTAATCGAGTTTCGCAGTCAACAAATTGCAATTGCAAGTATTAAATCGGTATACACAAAACATAAAGACGATCAATTTAACAAATTTTGAGAAAATCAAATTTTCTCAGAACACTTGAGCACATTTTCAATATTATATCCTTACACAAGTAAAAAATTAATATCAGTCGGAAAGCAGATCGATCTTTTGTATATTTAAATAATTTTTCGACATTAAACGTAACATTATCGACGAGACATTCGCTTGAGAACACTGACCTAATGCACCCAGTGGAAAATTGCATGGTGGAAAGATTCGTGCGCGGCCGATCGATCTGCTCGAACGCGAGATATCGTGCGTGCATCAGCTCGGCAGTGCACGCCTCTGTAGGATGTCTGCGATCGATATTTCCCGCGAGGGTAAATGGAATGAACGTTTAATTTCGTACAACGGAAGAGCCGACGTTCTCCTGGCAATGATACGCTGATCAAACGAGACGCATCTATTTGCGAAACGTCGCGAAAACGTAATCCACAAAATCACGTGTTCGTAAAGCAGCAGGATAATAATTGTCGCATTCGTTCCTTATTGGGTTAGAAGTAGTAAGGAATAAATGCGCGAGGGAGGAAACACTGCATCCACCTTATGTTTATTCGTATTTCAGGACTTGTGACTTAAGTCCGTAATCCGTAAGAGCTATTTTACAAAGCGGATTTTGCGTTCTGTGAGAAATATAATACATAAAAGGGAATTTAAGGAGGATCTCGTGAGTGGATATTTCACGCGGATTTTCTAAATCTTCCAAAGCAAAAGAAAAGTGAATCTGGATTATAAATTTACTAATTACACACACAGACTTATTACAGACTTAATGCAGTACTTTAGTTCCTGACGCACTCAATATATGTATATTGTACCTTTGAGAATTTTATACTACAAAAAAAATGCTTATGTATTAAATATTTCTTCCCTTGCGTGCTCTTTATTCCTTACACCCTCACATTTCATTTTTATAGTTCATTGTGCCACGACTCTTGCACCTGCGCCTCGATGAAGAAGGAAGGGGCGGCGGGAGCACGTTGCGCTTAGCAACAACCGCACATTTTTATGTAACCATAGAGTAGAAATCGAATTCCGCCAGGTCGACGTTGTCGCGCGTTTACACGTTCACCAAGATAAGGCTTCTTTTTTTACTCTTGAGTACACATAATGCCCGTTTCTACCAAATGTAGCTCACTTTTAGTCTTGGTTTCAACTAACTCTTCGTCTCTTTCTAGAAATTAGAAAAAGATAAAAAGCAAGTGGAGAACCGAGATTAAAGTTACTCTACATCGGTATAGAAACGAGCATTATACGTATCGGCCTTCTGCAGAGCTTTCACCCCTTCTCACGTAGTTGCATAAAACGTATGGATACTTGGCGCAATCTGTCTCTAGACGGTACCCCTTTCTTATAGCCTTTCCGGGTTAACGGACGTTATATCGAGGTCATTTAATTTCACGCGACAAAACACAAATCTCGATGCAGCGACAAGTGCGATATAACGATCCATATAGCCACTTCCGCTCGCACGTTCTACTTGACTCGGTTAGCTATTACCGAAATACGTATATGATAATGAAGTAAAGAAACACGTTTCTTACTTCTCGCTATCTCGAGGGTATAACTCTCTGAATTGGTTCACATTCGATTCGAATACAAGAACGACGTCATCAGACGATTCGGTTTTGTTAAAGATTAATTTTCTGCTTATTAAATTTCTATTTTTATTTGTAAGTAATGAAAATTAATAGGAAAATAATTTTTTCCCGATTTATAAAACTCTTGTACATATAAATAAAAATACACACACACACACACACACACACATATATTGTAGCTTATATATTATAATTTTATCTGAAATAACGATGACACAAAACAATAACGTGAAAATATGTCAAACGCAGCTGATCTAATTTTTAATTTACGTACAGCTTGCACAGCTGCAGCAGCTTTTCTGCACTTAACACCAATTTCAGCCTTTTGCGCAGTTGTCGATATCAAACTGCCTGCTTGTAGTAGTGAATTAGTTTTCGCCGAAATCATAACCGCATTTAACACGAACGAGTGTTAAATCATTCGCCATCTGAATTAGCGGAGAAAAGAAGCGTTAATTGTGATTAGAGTTAAGTGACGTTGATAGCTTCGCGAAACTA